AATCACAGTAAAAAACTAACTATTGAATAAATAATTAGCATTAATTAGTAAAATTAATCTTTAATAACAAATACTTAATTAAATTTTTCGTACTATATACTTAAAATTGTAATCAATCAGAAAAAAATTAAGGGCTTTGGGGGGTCCAGACCCCCAGGACCCCTCTCCTTGTGTGCGCCACTGTTCCTAACACATAATAGCATATCCCTCCTACTCAGATTAAACGAAACAAAATTTTGTAAAAATCTTGTTCATAAATATTTGATTTAGTGAAAAGTAAACAAGTTAAATATAACGAGACAAAAAATACCCTATGTCACCAAGCTTCGTAATCAAAAAATAAAAACAAAGTGATTATTCAAATTTAGTATGTCGCAGTTAAATGCTATTTTTATTTCAAAATAAAAATTGAAAGAATTAGAATGTCTAGATTTCAAATACTTCCTATTTAATTTTAGTTTAAAAAATTTATTTATAAGCAATGCTATATTTATTATAGTATATTTCATTATATGAATTACGTATTTATTCGAATCTAAGCCGAACTATTTTTTCCGATATTATTGCCATTGAAAATCATGTGGGGTTTAGAATCGAAGGCAAAAATATTCGTTGAATGAAGGAAATTAAGCCTGATACTGACAGTTAAAGCAAATATCTGTTTAAGTCAGTGGCGTAACGGAGAATATTAGGCCCCCTAGAATTCCCCCCGCGCAATATGGAGGTTGCGGGGGTGTACGTTACGACACTGGTTCAAATATATGTTTAAAAGTTTTCAGTGCTGGTAATATAAATCAATTATTCACTTTTTCTTATTTTATTTATTTTTTTAAATATCGTAGATATCAGATATGGATAAACATTTTTACACACTAATTTTTATTTTTTTAAAAAACGTTCTGAGAATTTAGGGTGGGGCTTAGAAGTGATGGTGGCTAAGATTCAAATAAATATGGGATAAATTGTATAGAATTATTTCACAGTTTAATCTTGTTTCCTAAAGAAAGTTATAAGTGAATATGACGATGAGCAAAAATAAATGTTTTGTTTTCTTAAAATTTATATTGAGCTATTTACTTAGAAAATAAACTCATACAGATAATATTTTTTTTTTTTCAGAATGATGATTATATTACATATCGCCATTTCATTTATAATAGGAAGCACACGTTAATGAAATTCTCTTGTCTATACAAAACTCAACGTGCCAATAATTTATTTTTGCAACAACCCTTAGACCAAAGGATGCATCATAATATTTAAAGCGAAACTACACTACACGCTATTTTCAGTCATACCACTTTCAACAACCATTTTCCTCGAATTAGTCAAACGAGAGAGACATATTCTCTCGTGCGTCCAAATAGCGTGCGTTTAAACCGTTGGTTGTATAGCATCACTACAATACGATGCTTATTTTCACTTTCAGCCCATGGCATCAGCCGGAAGATCGGTCAGTCACGTAATGGCGGTCTGTTAGTAATGACGTCACAAGTACCGTTACATACACACCGACAGGAAAGAGCAACGGTCGTTGTGTAATATTTAGTGCCAGGTGTTACTACATGGTAGTTGAATACATGTAGGAATGAAACCCCATAAATGAGACAGTTGCGTTTTTCGAAGAAAAACATTCCTTTTCGGAGTTGTTTTCTCTTTCGAATTTTTATTGTTTTGATATCTGGAACAATATTATTTGCCAATATAATTCATAACGGTTTGAGTGGAACATTTCACACTCTAAGTTGTTTTTGAAATTATAATTAATACTTTTGGCGATTAATTCTGGCAATTAATATTATTCGAAGTAGATTTGTAGTTCCCTTCAGTTATGTTAAATTGCATTATACAACTTTTATATATATTCATAATATATGAAATAAATTATCTTAGCATTTTTGTGTCCCTGTTAAAAGTTAAATATGCAATTTAAATTCTTGTTTTTGTTTTGTCAGTTGTATATAATCCCAACTCAAATTTCATTTATACGATTTTGATTTAACTCGAATTTTAAAGAGTTAATTCTCTTTTTACACAACTTATTCTGATTTAATACGATTGACTCATTTGGTTAACAAATCTAAGAGAAAAATTTTGTTTTACTTTTGATTCATTGATTGCAACATTGAAGACGCAGATTTTACAACCTCAATATTGAATGTTATCTGCGTCGTCTGCATTTTGAGTTGGGGGGTTCAAAATAAAAAGTATCTTTTAGAAGTTTATAAAATTTAATAAAAATTAAAATAAAATTCATGAATAATACATTGTTATTGAGACTTTTTCGTCGCGGCTGAAACTTATGAGACATGAAAACAAGTTGCGGAGAAAGAACTATATAAGAAAAGGGTTTTTCCTCAACACGAAGAACGACGAGAACAGAGCTACCAAAAACATCTTTATTTATTTTTTTATCTTCACGTTTTGTCACATACTAAACTAGGAGTGTAGCAATTCGAATTCGAATAGTGAAAGAACAGGCCGAAATATGAAATCTTAAAGAACACAAATATAAAGATATTGATTTCACAATACCAAGCATGATGATTGTTGTTGTTACTAATGCCACCTGCCTGACGTATTCAGATCGAGGCCCACGAAATTCATCGTGGCAAGGAGCTAGAAGTACGCCTGTCGTTGGCCTTTAGCACCATACAGGTGACAGTACGATTTAGCTCGGCGAAATTCCCCGAAGGGACGATACAAGGCGACACCACCTATCTCCACCTCCACAATTTCTGCATTGAACTGCAGGGAAGGGAAATATTCTCCAGTCCCTGCGCTCGTGACTCAGCCCACAAGACTTCGGACCCACTGATTTAACGAGTACGTACTCCATGTGCACTCGGAGGGTATTTGGTGGCATCCGTCATCGAACCCAGGCCTTCCGGTCTGGAGTCCGATGCTCTAACCACTAGGCTACCCACGGCCCTATGATGATTGTGGTATTTAAAAGAACTTATGAGAATAAGAAATTAAGAACGATAAATGACTCGAAGATATACTTAGCATATACTCTAAGCTCCAGGAGATTAGCGTAAAAGCTGACCAAACATCATTCCTTCCTCAGTGGCTTCGACAGCCCAAGGTAGGCCTTGGCCTACCAGGAAGTCTTTTCCAGGACAGCCTTCTTCCTGTTAGTGTTATCCAATTTTCGGTTTTCAAAATTAGAAGATCTTCTAGGCCGTCAATCCATCTTAGATTTGGCGTGCCGTGTACCAATTGGTTGGTCTTTGAAGGTTTTTTTGGTGGTGCGGTCTGATCAGACATATCTAGCTGTAAAACCTCGTAAAAAGGTAAAACATCGCGAGCAACCTGAATTATATACTTATCAAGGCACAGAAATGAGTCCCTCTTAACGAAGGACAGTCGAGCCTTAAATTGGAAATTAACTCCAAAGCTGGAACATATTGATTAGAGCTTAGTACTTTGATTTCTTAAGACTTGAACCAATCCTATTTTTCTGTAGACGCAATATATTTTTGCACGCATTTTTTGGAACACATCTGCCGAGGGCCCCATGAGTTTAATTGAAGGGAAATATTAGTTATTTCTAGAAATACGCGCGCGTAATGTCTCAGGGAATAGTGGTTCTGGAAAACATGTGTAGGCTATTATGATATCCTATAACTAGGAATCACCAATAAATCTATTAAAAATTTAAGGAATAATCCTTTTATTGAGGGATCACGAATAAATCTTTTAAAATATACGTTTTAATCCTTTAATACTAAATGAAATGAGCCTAGTGTTTTTGATATAAGGAATGGATAATTATGATTTAGATATTACAAATAAATAAGATTAAAATTTTAAGTAAATATTAAGTTATTTGAAATGAATAATGTATAAATTTTAGCAAAAGCGATCTTTTTGTTTCTGAGTAAATAAAAATTTTGCAAAAAATTATCTTTTTTAGATTGGACATTGTAATCAGCAGAAGTATTATTTAACTTGATAACTAAATAATATTTCTCTCTCTTCTCTATGCTTCTATTAATATTTTAAATATTTCTATTCTTTATGATTCTCTATTTAATTTTTGGGGGGAAAAAATGCTAAATTGTTTTGTGAAATACACATTTATTTACTTTTGTGAGTAAATATGTTAAATTACTTTGCAAGATATTTTATTTTCTTTCGCAAGTAAATATACATAATAGTAAGATATGTGTGTTTTGGATGAAATTATGTGTACTAGAATTAATTTGAGATGTTTTTGTTTCATTGCTACCATAATGTTACAACGCCTAGTATTTAAAAATAGGGATATAAAATATGTAGAAATAACTATGCAACAAGAACACATTTAATGTTCTACACGAAATTATTCGTTAATGTAAATGCGTTCTTCTGTGAATTCGAAAACTTAAAATGTTATAAATGTTTTTTTTTTTTTTTTTTTTGAGAAATCATTTAATGTACATAAACATTTTCCAACATCCTATGTTATACGAAAATTACAATTTATACCTCGTGGTAAAAATGTTATACTTTGTTAATTGTTTTACAAATAAAATATTTTTGTTATACTTCTCATGTAATTATAGTTATTAATGACACGCAAAATTCTTATTAATAGCAAAAAATGAAACGAGATTACTGAAAATGGCTGTATTTAATTCTACTGAGTTAAATCATTACATTATACATGATACCCTTAAAAATAAAATATGCACAGTTTTGGATAACGGTCCATAAAAATAAAGATTTTTAAAAACCATGTTTTGTCTTATGTATGTATAAAAAATGTACAACGAGCCGTCTTTAAAATACACCTATGACATTATTTTCCTGCACAAGAAATTAAGTTTTTCTGTTAATGTATTTATATTATTTTTTGCTTACCTAGCGATGAAACATACTTTTTCGTTTAAATGAAACATCTATTAAGAGCATAATTTCAAATTAAATATAAGGTAGGTTTATTTGTTTATATAAAAAAAGATGTTTGTTCAGTATATGACCTCACTTCACCCCAACACCGATCATGTGGCCGCGGTAGCCGAGTGGTATAGGTATCGGACCGTGGCTTTTGCTTTGTCACGGGTTCGAACCCTGTACCACTAAAGACCCGCCGTGTAGGGCAGCGATGCACGTTAAATCTGTCGAGCTGAAACGTCCTCCCGTTGGTGTGGTGTGGTAGTTAGGAGAGGGGTGCCAGCTCAGGTGTCGTCCACGTCACTTGACCATGGTTCAAAATTACGTGGTCCGTCGCCAAAAGCCCTCGTGTAGCTGAACAGTGCGACGTTAATATTCAATCAATCAATCAATCAACCAACACCGATCACTATGAAAATTGGCATGTACATATGTTTTTTTGTGGAGAAGGTTTTTGTGCTAACCTCTATGTTGCAGCTCCCCACCAGGTTAATATATTACACATTCATATATAAATTATTTTTTACACTATTTTTAAGCATTCATTACATTTGTAATAATATGTTAGTGTTGCTCAGCAATCAGCTTATGAAGGTGTTTTCAAAAATCGAACCCAAAGGGCATCACAGGGGTATTATAAATAAAAAAAACTCTTTTTATCAGCTATTAGACATACAGACTTAAAATTTAGCAAACATTATTTTTTTTGTTCATCTAAAATATAAATTTTTTTGTCTAATTTGCAGTTTACTTAAAATTAATTAATTAAAAACCTCTTCCTCCTACAATCCGTATTGTCTAATTTGTATAATTCTTCCGTGCGAAGAACGGATATACTTGCTTGTATTATATATTGAACATATTGTTCTTGCATGGCATTTACTAATTTATAAAAAATTAATTTTATTGCATAAAAGCTTTAAAACTTTGAAGGTAATGAATATTTTTATGTAGTGTTTTTAAAATTATAATAAAAGTTTATTTCTTACTTATCTCTTTGAAAAAGATGATTATTTTTTAAAAACATATTTATGTTAAAATTTGTTCTACTCTGAACAGTATTATGCGAAAAGATTTGAATTATTTTTTCTTTGATTTTAAAGTGTATGAGTTTAAATAAATAACATGAATTTTGATTACATATGCTTACTTTTAGATATTTAGTCTGAAGATTAAAGGAAATGCAATTTATTCGGAATATTCGTTTTGGTTTTGAAATAAAATAAAAAGTTTTCAGTTCTTCATGTGTACATTATTTCTATATCCACATAAAATCTTGTAAAATTTATTTTAATAAAATATGTTTTTCAACTAATGTATAAATTTCATAACATAAATTATTCATTGTTATCAATTACTATTCTCTCTCATGTTTGTAATAATAATTAATTTAATTTATGTAAAAAAAAAGTACAAATACAAGAGATCTAATATTTTTCTTAAAAATACACTTTAAGAATTCTTTTTATTCTTTAAATGTGAGTTTTGTTGTTCACTGAATATTTTTTTTATTACCGGGAGGAATTTTTAAAACATTTATTGCTTCGTAAAAAATTGACATTTTTTTTTTTATGAAAAGTTATTTTTGTACGAATAGTTAAAGAATTCTGCAAACGAACTAATAAATATTAAGGAAAGACATACATTATTAATATATCGAATACATATAAGAGCAAAAAAGCATTTTTAACATCAAAAGACTTAAAAATGCAAGAACTGCATATTTCATATGCAATAGAATTTTTAAGTGTTCCTTTTTAGTACTTATATTTCTATGGTTATTTTCGTAATGATTTTTGAAGCAAGTCTTTGCTTTTTTTTAAAATTACAAACATGTATAAAAATTTATATGTACCAAAGTATTTTTAGTTATAGATCCGTGAAACTCAGTAACAATGAGAGTTTATATGAAGAATTATTACTTTTTTTATCAATGGGCTGCATATTGGCAACTAAGCCTTTGCACACAAGGCAAGTTCCCAAATATGAGAGCCATTTTATGATGGCACCATCTAGTGGCGGTTTTCGCTACCAAATCTGGACACACAAATTAATTTTAGTTCAAGCTTTTTTAGCATGCTAAGTATTGTCTTGATATAATTTTGCGGAGAGTATATGAACCAAATTAATACTCAAGAAATCTTTTCCATGACACATAAGCGTATAGAATGCGAGCTTACAATTCTCAGTTCTTGAAAATCTATCGATTCCAGCCGAGATCGAACCACAACCTTGGGTTTACGAAGCTGGCACGCTGCCTCAGAGCCGACCATGAAGAATTGTTAAAGGGTTAATTATAATTATTAATGATAAAAATTGTACGTTAAAAATATGGGACACAATTGAATTATATAATTTCAAATTTTTAAAAATAGGAATATTTGGATTTAATTTTCTTTTGGTCTACTTTGAGCATCTCAGAATTTTAAACATATAGGTTATATTTCGTGCAGTCATTCGAAATTTTCTGCTGACCTACGTTGAGTAGCGAGCGTTTTCGAGTCCTTGTGTGACTGAAAACCCAGCCTGTATAGCAGGGGTGGGCGAAGTTTTCCAGGATGCGGGCTACTTTTAATATTTTTAAGGTGTTGTAGTCCACCTAGTGGGGTAGGTGCGGCTATTCTGTATTAAAATTGTATGTTTCCTTTTTCTAACACTTGTTTTCGAGATTCTACCCCTCTTTTAAAGTATGGCAGATTACAATTTTTACTACAAAAACACTAGTAACACAAAATTGTCGAGTTGAATATTTTAACAACTATGAGTGACTACTAGACTAGGGAGCGTGGACGTATTCAATGCAGCGAGAAGGGAGCCTATGTGAACCAATGAATCTGAAACCGACATATGTACTTAATTTGTTCCCCGTCGCCATCGCGTGACATGACATCAACGAGAAAACACGAATTCGTAGAAACGCGGGATGTGGGAGGATGTTTCAATAGCCAAACTCGTACTGTCGCGGGAACAGCTGATCATCAGCACTTATTATTTCCTTTAGCTGAGGTTGGGAAAATTCATTTATACGGCTGGCATAGCAGTGATCGCTGTGCGCTTCCAATGAAAGGTACATGTGTCATCTACTCAATAATAGAATCATTTGCTTTATTAAACACAGTCGCATCAATTGTGAAATGCCAATTCTCCCTTCTAGCTGGCTTTGGTGAACCATAAATATATTTCTTTTAGTATGTGCGTCTTAGAATTTAGTAAAGGCGGTCACCTCGAAATGTCTTGGCAATCTACCAGTCAATCGCCAGTCGATCGCGATCGACTTAATGCTTATTTTTGGTTTACAGAAACGGATGTACGTTAAATCTACCGAGGCTTAAAGTTCCATCGTGGGCGCCATGAGGAAGTTTAGAGGTAGTGTCAGCTCAAGTAACATGATCGAGGCTCAAGATCTTCAATAATCTTCAATCGCCAATTCTCTTCATGTTGTTTCAAAGTGTGACGTAAATCGAAGACAATCAATCTGCCAATCAAAATTATCGATTAACTGTCAATAAGAGGCTCACAAACACTCCAACAACATTCTATAACTCTACATTGAAGGCATTAGAAATGTAAAACTCGACTGAGATAAGGTAAAAATATTATTCAACTAATAAATTTCCAAATAATTACATCCGTTGGTAAATAAAATGTTGTTCAAATTAATAACCGGTTTATTTAAAAATAAAAATTCTTATAAAATACTAAATGGTGATTTAAACTACTTTGAGACAAGTTTTACGTTTAGGCTTAACCCTCATATGATTGTAAGGCTACTAAGAGTAAATTTTAGTTTTTAACTGCCTATTTTAGTTTGTTTTTAAACGTAAAATAAATAGAAATCATAAGAAAAATACATAACAATCTGTAGTTTTTTCGCTCGAAATGTCGATTAAATTCAGATCTGTGTAGTTTTATCAGACACTTTTTTTTCTCATTTGTTCAAATGTACCTTATTATAGCACATAAGTAAAATATGTGATAAAACACAACACAATAAAGTGAAATTATTCAGAATAAGGAAACATCTTGCGGATGTTTTATCATTGGCGCAAAATTGATTTTACGATTATCCCCCCCGGTGTATTATCTTATACTTCATTGCATTCGATTTACGTTCTATTTTGATATCCTGTATAAGAAATATAGATAAGGTGAGAACTAAGTACGACAATCGCCAACTTTAAAATGTGGAAAAATGTTTCTTTTTTGTCGTAATAGTTTTAAGAAAAGGATCGAATTATGGAATATATCTCCTTTATACAGTGTGGCCTCAGTAGTCAGTGGTCAAGGCAACGGACTCGTGGCCGGTGTGTCATGAGTTCGAGCCTAGTATCGCTGAGTACCCGCCGTGTAGAGGTTCATTAAATCTGTCGGGGCTACGGCCTCCCGTTGAAGTTAGGAGAAGGGGGAGCTCAGGTTTCCTCCTCGTCACTTGACTATGGTTCAAAAGTACGAGGTCCGTCGCCAAAAGCCCTCTTGTAGCTGAATAAGGCGGCGTTAATGTTTACTCATTCCTTCATACAGTAGCGTAACGAAGAATATTATGGGCTCCTGCAAAGTCAGATTTTGGGCCCCAAGCCGGATCTTATAAATGATTGCAAAACCATACGTCTGGGGCGTCAAAGACTTTAGGCCTCCTGGAATTCTGCCCTTACCCCCTACGATGCAGGGGTGTACGTTACGTCACTGCCTTTATACAATAGAAACGATTTTCAAGAGTACTTATTTCAGTATATATAGGCAATCTCATATGTAAATAAAGGGTGTTTTTTTAGAGGTATAGAACTTTAAATTGCAATAAAATAACGATGTATTATTCGATTGACATGAATTTTTTTTTATTCGAAAGATAATCTTGTGGCATTACATTTTAAATATGATTCATGGCATAGGACTGCCACGGCTGGCTTGGATGTAGTCCAATTTGGACGTCAATTTTCGATGACTTTTTCCAACATTTGTGGCCGTATATCGGCAATAACACGGCGAATGTTGTCTTCCAAATGGTCAAGCGTTTGTGGCTTATCCGCATAGACCAATGACTTTACATAGTCCCACAGAAAATAGTCTAGCGGTGTTAAATCACAAGATTTTGGAGGCCAATTCACAGATCCAAAACGTGAAATTAGGCGGTCACCAAACGTGTCCTTCAATAAATCGATTGTGGCACGAGCTGTGTGACATGTTT